GTTTAACGTTTCACATTTTAAATTCGCCGACTCGTCATGCTTTTTCACTTACGTGTTTATTGAATTTATATAGCGCCCTCCGCAGATCTCAGGCCGGTTCACAACACAAAAAATACAAGATAAAAACATAAAATACTTCCTGCGTTGGGCCAGTTACTGAGTCTCAGCCTGCCCCACTTCACTGCTTGAATCCCGTTTTATGCTACCTTGCCACCCCCTCTGAAGCCTTACTTATCAGGCTGCAGCTTCTGGGTTCCAGCAAGATCTAGAGAGAAACCCATGAGATCTCACGAGAGCGACATGAGATCACCCGGAGGGAGGCCTCCTCATGATTTTGTAGGGTTCTTGCAGGATCTCGCTGGAACCCAGAAAGCGCTGCTGCTGATTCTCCTCGTTTTCCTGGTGGCGGTGGCGAGCCTGTGCCCACAGAGGTGCCCCTTGGATTCTGTAGCCTGAGGCATCTGCTTAGTCTGCCTCAGGAATGGGCTGGCCTTCTTCACCTGGCTGTTGCAAAGATATAGAAGGAGATATAAAATGGCTTCAAAATGGACTTAGTGCTTGTATCATAGGCATCAAATTTTGATTCCTTTAACCAGGGTGATCCATCTTTGTACTATAGGGCCACATTCTTCTGCTCCCACCCATCACAAATTAGTATAACCAATCTTTTTCTGGCCAGAATATTACATGTTTTAGGTGTATCAGTGTCATCTGTGTTCAGTCGTGCTTACTCTCTGGTTAGTGTGCACAGAGGACTAATTTCTAAGAAGACTTATCTTAGGCCTGTAGCCACTATGGGTGGGAGATTGTTAAATTATATTTTTAAAAAGTTTTTCTATCTTACTTTTATAGGTAAAATTGTAAGGAAAAGCAGAGAGTAACTATTTTTTCCTAATTGCTCAGTTAAAAAAACAAAATCTGCTCCCACTTTCCAAAGTTCTGTCCCAATGGAAAAACCAGTGAGATAAGTAACAGGATTTAAAATGTTATAATGTTTATTTTATTAATGATGTAAGTTTGTTGAAATTACTTGATTTTGCAGTTGTGTACCCATTTACCTGGGAGTAAGCCACATTAAACACACATAGACTTACTTCTGAGTGTACATGTCTACCATTGTACTTTAAGTTAATTATACAGTGAATTCTTAATGACTGCTTTGACTGTAGCTCTTGCACAGCAGGAGACAAGCCCCTTTCCATAGTTTTGGAAGAAAGCAACTTATACGGAGTACCTGATCTCAAATGAACCCACCACATGAAAGATGAATTCTGGTTGTTAGATAGTTGGGAAGGGTAAGCTACAGAGATTCCAAGGTTTAGAAACTGAGACAGAAGCAAGAAAGAAAAGTACACAAAAGGAAAGGGGAAATGTGAGCTCTTCAGGACCTCAGGGATTCCTATAGTTTTGTGTCCAAACTAACTCATCAATCACAACTTTGGCTGCACTAAAATATTGAAAGATGGGAACAACCAGCTCATCTCGCAGAAATTGCTTAAAAGGGTACCTGCACATTTTGCTTTATAACTTTCATCTCAGGAGGACTGGTTGGGTAAGTTCTACTATATTATTACACATCGGACAAACATCTCAAAGAAGAAATGTGGTGTTCCTGTTATGGTGATCTATAATGCTTGAATGAAAAACATGCCTAAAATAAAATATGAAAACCCAATACTGTCCTTTCTTCTACGGACGGCACATTTTTAGCTCACATTGCCACACTCCTTGCTTTGTGAACCAGATTGCTGCCCTTTGAAGCAAATTCTCCTTGATGTGCTCTTTTTACAGCCATTCCTTGGCTTAGGGACTTGAGCTCCTTCCATAGCTTTGCACTGCAGCAGTGTCATCAAGAGCAGCATCTCTGGGGGGAATGTTTAGACATTGCTAATGTCAGTTTGATTCAGAAGACATTTCCATTTAACTCCTGCCCTTATAAAGGCTTAAATCAGAGCACAGCTTTTATCACCAGTGCCAAGTGCTGTCTCAGTGTACAAATAAATGAGTTGTGCTTGTCTGGAAAAGTCTCAGTATGTGACAGCGCGGTGTTCTCATCATGGTGGCAGGTAGCCATTAGCAGTGTGTGTGTGTGTGTGTTTTAAAGATGACTATAACTAATTACATTGCAAGAGCAGCCTGGGAGCGAAGCAGACCTTGATTTTACCTTGTAAAGCTAATTTTGTAATGGCATGCAACATGGCTGCAAGAGATTATATCCTGCTTTCCTGCAGAAAGCATGCTGAAAGTTCTGCTAAATCCTGTCTCTTATAAGACTCTTTCTGGAAAAAAAGAGAGCTTTTCCATTTCATCCTCCATTGGTATGTCCACCATAGTGTGTGTTCCTCTTCACCAGGAATCTGGATCTGCATTCTACAGGAGACATTAGATGGTTGTGGCAGCGGACAGGCCTAGCAGTGCAACAAGGGAGAAGAAGGAGACTCTCTGAGGGACCTACCCCTGCAGTTCAGCTGTTAGTGTGTATCCACCATACAGACGTAAACTACTTTAATAGTCTTTCTTTTTCCACTGGGAACCAAGGAACTATGGTTCTGTGGTGGAGAACCTGGATAATCTCAAAGTTGCATGCAATAAACTCTGAAGGAGACAGGAACCCAGGGCTGTTTGGAAAGGGGTAACCCCACTGGTAATCCTAAAACAGGTCTGTACCAACCACCCTGAACAAAACCCACCACTCGTAAAAGGCAGTGACCCCCACCCTCATGGCACGAGACTTACTGCTATATCCCGGCATTGAAAAAATAGGACGGTTGTCAGACATTAGTTGCTAAAGTTCATCCCATGATGTGCAAGCTGGTCCTGAAACAATGATGCTGTGCTGTCTGGTATAACTACAGGACTCTTAGGAATCAAACTATTTAAGCAACATCAGGTACTATCTATCTCCTAATATTTAGATCTACTCCCAGAGTATAATTCCAATTTTAGAAAGACCCAAGTATTTGCATCATAATTTCCACCTTTGCTGAAAAAGCAGGAATACAAAACCGTACCTGGGGTGATTACTACTATTACAGACATAGTAATGAGGTGAAGATTACAGGGCAATTATAGCTCACAAGACTGCGATTTTGCTTTATAACTCACTATTAATGTCGCTTCAACTGAAGGTTTTTAGTGTTTTTTTAACTGAGATGGCAACATTTTGCTTTATTGAGAGGTATAATTAAGCAAACCACTGTAGAATTAACGAAGTGTCTCTTGAAGCTGCAATTCCAGATCTCGCCTGCATCCAAAGCAGCCTAGTCTTCTCCACTACCAAACCTGCCTAAGAACTAATCAGACCACAAAGGCCTGGAGGCAAGCCCAATGGATAAGTAGGCTCTTGGGGATCTCTAGACTAGAGGAAATAGGTCAGATTGGCCCAAATCCCACTATAACAAACCCAGGACACACTTAAGCTAACTCAGAAGAATAGGAAGCCTTCAAAATACAGCTACTTCTATCTTGCTCATCGTGAGACCTCTCCATTTGTGGACTGGCCTCGAGGGCTTGAGGGTGTTGGGCCAAAAAGACAGATTGGGGGTGCTGCTGGTGTACTGCCCACCCATCTGCTTCCCTGATTGAGCTGGTGGAAGCAACCTCTGGTGTGGAGAACCTAGGATTATTGTCCTGTGGGACTTGAATGTCCATACTGAGGCTGTTCTCACTGGTCCGGTATGGGACTTCATGGCCTCCATGAGGCTGTCTCAAATGGCCATCTTTAGCCTGACACACAATCACTGATTTGTGTTTCTTCGCTCCTGGTGGTGAGGATGATGGCCTGGAAAAGGGGTGGGTGGGGGGGTCTGTGACTGCATTGTCATAGTCAGGCGACTTCCTGGTGAAGCTTGGGCTGATGGCACCAATTCCCCCCTGCAGGGATGGAGGAACTGATTAGGATGATTCGCCCCTGGAGGTTTATGGATTCTGATGGATCCCTGAACACTCTGATTGATTTTCCCGGTGGGCAGAGCTGGCAATCCTTCTGAGGCTCTTGACTTGCTGGCTGCCCATCTGCTACTGGGCCAAGTTGAAGATTTTGGTATTTGTTAACACAGCTCAGGACCCGGTTGCTTGAAATATCACCTTACCCAGTGCTCTTTTTCTAGAAAAAGAGGTGCCAGAACTCTCCATGAACTCCTCTGTTTTTCTCTTATAATGGCAATGGTGCCCACCTGAAAGGTGATGGAACTGAGTTCCAGTAAGTTCTGGCTGGGGGGGGGGAAAGGCCTGACTTTATCCCTCACGTGCCCAGAAGATCACTGTGTTCTACAGGAGAGATTCTCCTTCAAGTGTCCAAAATACCAGAAGCCTGAAATGTCCACAGCAACTCAAGGGTGTGGCTGCCACCGCTCTGTGGAATAGCATTCCTGTTGAGATACAACAGGCATAACTATCTGCACTTTGTAGAAGCAATTGAGTACCTTTTTGTCTCCACATGGTTTTCCAGCTGGAGGAACAGGTCTCTCTGCCTTGGGTGTTCATTTTGTTTGCTTTGTGTTTAAAAAACGAACTTTGATTATTTCTTGGTACAGTTTTCATTTTTTTTAACCTATTTCTATGATATATTTGCAAAAGCATGTGGAAAAGGCGATTCATGAATTAATTAATAATAATGCAGATTATATGGCAAGCTCAGGGTCTCTGCTTGCTGTCATCTTTGGGAAAGAGCTGCAGGACCAGTTGGAGAATTAGCAAGGGCATGTGCAGAATCTAGCAAGTGCCCATTTTACAGCCAGTCCTTGAAATGCCATCTGTGTATACCTTTAGACTAAACCTTAAGCCAGTTTTAACTGTCATGGATTGTCCATGGGAATGAGCCAGCTATGGTTAAATGTTTCCTGATGAAAAGGTTTTGTTAGATTGCGGAAAATCTTGGACCAAAAGAGCTCTTGCCCACCTAACTAGAAACCCTTTAGGGCAAATCTGTTTAGAGCTGTCCAAAGAATGATATGTAGACAAAGTCAAGCATCTTCACAAGTTAAATTGCTTTTAATATTTCCCAAGTCTGTAATTCAAAAATAAAACATATTAGTTAGCATTTATATCCTCAACCCCCACAATACACTCTTCAGTTTTGTATCCCTCCTGGACAACATTCACAAGTGCCAAATTCAGACTAAAAGGTGTACTTTGCACCCTTAGAGAAACATCCTTGCTTTACCCTGGTGGCTCATGCAACAGATTAAAATGGTTTCAGTTTTGCCCACCGAAGAGGCCCATGGTACTTTCTTTAATGGAACATTTAGATTTCTCCCCCTCCACTGGTGATTCAATATATACAAATATTCTTTCCCTGCAATGTTCATGTACCAAAGAAGTGCTTGGCTTCAGAGTGTCTGAACATTTGTGGTCTGTACCAGATACCAAGACCAGAATACTAGGGCATGCTTTGATGGAATCCATGTCAGCAGCCTTAAGAAGTTATTAAAACTTTCCCCACTTTAGCGATGCAGATGCAATTACAGCAGGAACCGAGGGAAGACGGCAACCTGAAGTCTTCTTGTTTTCAGAGAGGCGAGATCTTGAAGCTTTAACCAAGGGGGGCAGCTTAGGCTTTATGGTTTGATCCGGTGGTTTCTTCCTGTCACTTGCCTTGGGCTCTTCTGCAGACACTTCATCCAGCTCTGGGAATGTCAGCTGCATGGACTTTAAGTCAGACTCTGAGGTGCAAACGATTCCCTTGCTCACCATCCGTGCAGTCATAGGTAAGTTGCTGGGCAAGGTGAAAGTCTCCATCTCCTACAAGGGATTGCAGAGGCCATATTTGAAGGGAGGATTGTGATGGAGGACATAGCATGATCAATGCATATGGGGAGTGCAAATCCCCATTCTGAGCTGCTTACAGCCAGTTAGGGCCGGAGTAGACATGATGCTAATTTCATGAATGCAATTTAATGTGCAGTTAAAAGCCTGATCTTTCCTTCAAATAGAAATAGCAGCTTTGGAGTGGTGTTTCTTTTGTTGGGATTGTCATAGGCGATACAGCTATCAATGGCTACTGGCCATGATGTCTATGCTCTGCCTTCATGGTTCTGAATGCCAGTTGATGGAAACCGCAGAAGGGGAGAGTGCTCTTGGGCTCAGGTTCCTGTGGGTATCTGATTAGCCACTGAGAGAACAGGATGCTGAACTAGATAGGCCATAGGACTGATCCAGCAGGACTATTATGCTCTTATGCTAGTGGTTTCCCCGCTGCCCTTCTCACTAGCCCCTTGGTCTATACTCTAAAGGCTGCTCAGACTTCCCTGGGGCTGTTATTTGCATAGCAAAAAAGGAAGGAAAGCACACATTATTTGCACCCAGGTGATTACTATGGCCCTATCTGCACTATCCACTAAAAGCATCATCATACTGTTTCAGCCAGTGATGGCTTCACCCAAGGAATCCAGGGGATTTGAGTTTGTTAAGGCTGCTGAGAGTTGTTAGCAGATCCCTATTCCCCATCACAGAGCTACAATTCCCAGAGTTTCCTTGGAAGCGGGGGTTAATTGCTAAACCACTCTAGGAACTGTAGCTCTGAGAGGGAGTGAGGGTCTTCTAACAGCCTGCTGTTTCCAGGATTCTTTGGGGGAAGCCACAACTGTTTTAAGTGGCATGATCCTGCTTTATTTTATAGTGCAGGTGTCTAGCCCTTGGTTGGGGAACATCTAGAAGTGTGTGTGTGTGTGTGTGTGTGTGTGTGTGTGTGTATTCTTCTCCATATTTATATATATATATATCTGGAAGGAGAAGAAGAGAATGGGTGCGTTTGAAGTCAAATGCATTTTCACCATCCATTTCCCTGCAGAACTATTGGCTCACTCCTGCAGAAGACCAGCCTACTTGCGTAAGCATGGTACATAACGATGGAGCTGCAAACTCACAACTCCTGTGCACAGGGAGGAGGAGATCAGAATTTTCTCTTTTACAGAACCGGAGGTGCCATTTTGTTTGAGTATGCAGATTCAGTATTATTGCTCCGTTCACACAGCTAGGCTGCTCACATGTGCTGTGAATTGTGCAAGTTTGCTCACAGCCGAGAGTGGGAAGCAAATCTCAAACTGCCATTCTGAGAGCACTAACTCAAAGTCCCAGTGAAATCAACGTGGCTTGGCATTTCATGTGGCTGGGCTGTGGTGCCATAAAGCAACAGGATTAAGGTAAGAGGGCGGGAAGAGAGGAGGAAGAACTACATTCTTGCTCTGGGCCAAGCTTCTATCCTAAGTGATGTCCGCCACACAGATAGGCACACTTGCTTTAGTAATAGCCTAACATGCTAAGCGGGGACGCGGGTGGCGCTGTGGGTAAAACCTCAGTGCCTAGGACTTGCCGATCGTATGGTCGGCGGTTTGAATCCCCATGGCGGGGTGAGCTCCCGTCGTCCGGTCCCAGCACCTGCCCACCTAGCAGTTCGAAAGCACCCCAAGTGCAAGTAGATAAATAGGTACCGCTTTATAGCGGGAAGGTAAACGGCGTTTCCGTGCACTGTGCTGGTGCTGGCTCGCCAGAGCAGCTTCGTCACACTGGCCACGTGACCCGGAACAGCGCTGGCTCCCGGCCTCTTAAGCGAGATGAGCACGCAACCCCAGAGTCGGTCACGACTGGCCCGTACGGGCAGGGGTACCTTTACCTTTAACATGCTAAGCACCAAAGATTCATGAGACTAATCATATGATAACATGATGCTAGGAGTTTTGACCTGCTCAGGTTATCAAATAACAACCTGTAATGATTATGCATGTAATGAAACTCACATGTCAACTGAAGAGACAGATGTAAAAGGCCAGCAAAGGATGGGAGGCAAGCCAGTCAAAAAAGCAGGTAAGCCAAGGGGCTCTACAAGCTCTAGAAGCATGTGTTACATACCGTAGTTGCCAGTGCATGGAAAGGTGAACAGCCTGCCCCGAACCGGTTGACTTTGTGGGGATTGATTTCTCCAAACAGATGCCGGCGGACTGTCCTCCTCGCTATTCTTTGCAGGAATTCTTCTTCCAGATTGTGTTTGAAAAAGCTCTAGTGTCAAAATCAGACAAGTAAACAAACAAACAAACAAACAAACAAACAAACAAACAAACAAACAAACACATGAGCTGTCATATCTGTCAGTTAGAGGCAGAGTGAGGCCTGCTTCACAAATATAGCAGAAGGAGCTAGCAGAGTCCGGAGGATTGTATCGCTTCAAGTGGCGCCATTTCTGAATGTTCACCCTGTTAAGTTGTGGGTGAACATATCAGACGACACTGCGATTCTTCAGACAGCTCTTGTTTATTCAGAGGCCAGAACATAACTGAACTGAAGGGTTCAGCCAACCTGCTTATATAGAGCTCAACTACAACGCAACAGTAACAACTTTCTGTAACTATCCAATCACTGAACATCACTTTCATTTCCTTATTTGCATATGTGGACCTGAGTGAAAACTATCTACAGTATCCCCCTGCTGGCCCAGGGTGAGAACTTCAGTACATAACACACCCCACTTTAACAAAAACTCACACCACAGAACAAGCTCCACACCAGCAAGAATGGTTCTAGCTTTTCTGTGCTAATATTCTTCTTAAGGGGAGATGTTTGGTTGTTGTTTTTTATTATTAATAAAAAAACACAAATCATGGGGGCAGGGCAGGGCAGGGCAGGGCAGGGCAAGGGGTGTACCTGCCTCCTTGGAATCCTAAATACATTTATTTGTTTTAATGCACTCGCACACAGACATCCCCCCCAGCTGGTCAACAAGAGATTTAGAGTGAACCTTGAGATCACCCCTACTGACATTATCTGCATTTTTCTGGGCCAGTAGGCAGATGTGAATGCTGCTGGTTCTGATCTAGTGAGGCTGCTTCCAAAGAGGTTTCAAGATTTGGAAACCCTAGAAATACAGCTGTAACATAAACAGAGGAGCTGTGGTGTCATTTTGTGATCAGGCGAGGAGCTTGGAAGTGCTGATGGAGGGATTCAGGCTATGGGAAAGCAGGACTTCTCCAAAGTGGCTGCAAGTGAGTTGGGACACTCATTTGATCCATCCTAGAGAGCGAGTCTCGTGGTATTTGTTAGAAATGCTTACATTTTCTTTCCAAGCTCTTAAAGTATGAGGCAGGTGGAGGAGGTAGGATGCAGGGGAGGTATAGTGTAGTTTTGTAGCTGAAGGTTCTAGCTTCCAACAACAAGGGAATAACATTGCCAGGGCTCTCCTCTCCTCCTTCCAATCACATTGATTTCAAAGGGCAGAACAGAACAAGTCTTCATTCCTCCTAACTCCTCAGTCCCATAACCACAGCACCTATCTCTTCGAGACTTACCTAAGGACAAGTCTAGGCTTTTAGTCCATTTCCATACAAATGCCCCCCCCCCAATGTGTGGGATGGGGAGAGTGAAACTACTTGCAGAAAAACCATTGACTCCCTTTGTACAGCTCCCAGTAAAGGGAAGTCCTCTTTCTGCATATAACTGCTAGTTCTCCTTCTGCACAAAACTGCACAAAACTGCTGCATTTTGGGGAAGCCTTGCACCTTTTCTCTTGCATTCTGGGAAGTCTTGCTTATAATCTTTTCCCTGCTTTTGCACACACTGTACAGATCTGTTCTAAACACCAGGACATTCTTTTCCTTGTTCAGTCATCCTAAGCTCATGGAAAACAACATGACCCGCTCTTCATGCCTAGCTGACCACATCTACAGAACTTGATTGTTATATTGTTTCATGCCATGATCCATCATTACAATTTAATTAGGAGGCTTCATGCCTGTCTAGTTCTAGCTTCGATTCCCAGCCTTTAATCCACCGATAATAAATGATCATACGTAACCCCCATTTCTCACATGTAATTCCTGCCTTATGCTTATGTTAACCAATCAGCAACAAGTTTCTTTGTGTATGTATGTATCAACCAATCAGCGACAAGCACACCTGTGGCAATGTTTGTAATATTCAATAAAAGGGGCTCCCAGGGTCCGCCCTGGCCAGACGCCTCATGTTACACCCGCCTCTCTCGTTTCCTGTGATTTTTCATTCCAACATCTGGTGACCCACGACGTGCCAGATCCCTTGCGCAGCCGAGCAGCCTGCCAGCCCTCATACTTCACCTGACTGGAGAAGTCTCAAGCGCGCTGTTTCGTGAGTATGGGGGGGAATTGAGTAAGCTTCAAAAATTGCATGCTAGGGAATTACTGCAGCTGGTTAGGCAAAGAGGGGTGGGTGTACATATTTCTTTAAAAGAGATTGAACAATTGCTAGGTGAGATCGCATTCCAATGTCCCTGGTACCCTGAGGCAGGCTCCTTGGGGGTAGAGGCTTGGCAAAAGATTGGAAAAACTCTTTTTGCAGAACCCAGGGCTCCTATTCATTGTCTGCTAACTTGGCAGAAATGTGCAGATGCCGTGGCTAAATTAGGACCTCAAGCGTCCCAGGCGTCTCCCACGGCTCCTGCACTTCTAACTATTGCTGACAATCCCCCTCCTCCTTATCCCAAACTGCTGCCTTCAAAACCTGTGCTTCAGCCTGCTTCCAACACCCCCCATTCCCTCCCTCCTGTGTCTCCATTGCCTGCATCTGCTTCTTCAGAAGCTGTGTCTCAGCCCACATCCACTTCCCCCCCTCTTTCTTCCCCCCTCTTTCTTCCCTCCCTCCTTCCACCCCTCCCTTGCCTGCCTCAGCTCCTGCCTGTTTCACGGGAGCTGTCCGTGTTGCACTTTCTCAAGCTAGGCAGAATGGTCTCCTTTCCTTAGAGGAAGAATCTGCGTGGGCTGGTGAAATGCCATCAGCTTTCCCTGTCTCCAGCTCAACCCCATCAGCTTTCCCCATTTCCTACACAAACCCAGGCACTGTGCAACAACAGGTGCTGTACGAAACCCTTCCTTACTCCGTAATGCGAGAATTGAGAAGGGCCATTGTTGATTCCGGTTTAAAATCTTCCTATGTGACAGGAATGCTGGAGGGAATAGCAACTGCTTCAACTGCAATCGCCCAGGTCATTTTGCTAAACAATGCAGAGCCCCTGGCGGTGGGGCGCACAGGAATGGTGATGCCAATAAGGCTAAACCTTCCAAAAAATGCCCAAAATGCGGTAAAGGCTATCATTGGGCAAATCAGTGCAGGAGTTCGGGAAACTCCTTAGGGGCCCCACTCCCGGGCCAGGACAAATAGGGAGCCCCCCCCCCCGCCGTTAGTCTCCACTATTAAAACCATCTCAAAGGATACACGCTCTGATTTTACCATTTAATTAATCAGGAAACCAAAGACACTGTTTTACCTGGTGAAATCGTGCTCATGCCTTCCCAATTGAAAGCCCCCCTACCTCCTAAAGTCACAGGATTAAATTTTACCCAAATTTTCTGCGGCAAAAGAAGGAATCCAGGTTATTCCTGGTGTTCTGGATCCTGACTATGTGGGCACAATCATGGTTCAACTTTGGAGCCATATGCCCATGCAGTTAAAAAAGGGTGAGTCTTGGGCGCATTTGGTGGTGCTCCCTTCTCATCCTACTGCTTCCATTATGGATATTAATTTGCACGAGTTCTCTTTTTTCCCTCCACAGCTTTTAACTGTAGTCCAGAGGATTGGCGAGAAGAAACTTCTTCGTAAGTATAGAATCAATGGAAAAGTTCTGGAAGGCCCCCCTGTATGTGCTGAAAATCCACCTTAACCTGTGGGGCAGAGATTTATTACAACAATTACAAGCTACCATTCAATTTAATGAGTAAGCTTGCACTTCCCCTCAACTGGAAACCTTCTGGTCGTGTCCTGGCTATACATTTAATTACATTCCAGCAAACATCAGCCATGGAACACCTTGCTGTTTAAGCCGTTTGTCCATCATTTTACCCAAGAAGCATCATTTATCCTGCTCTCGATATCGCCGCTCTAAAAAATTGACTAACGATTGTGATGCTTTTGTTTCTCTTCTCAGTAGGTCTGAATATATCTTTTTAGCTGTTTCTCTCTTAGGAGTTCCTGGATTGGCTGTACGGAATCGTATGAACATTAATTCTTTAGCTTATTCTGCAGAAAAAGCCCTGAATTTTACTTCACAAGTTCTTCACCTTTTGAATAAAGAACAGAGTGGACTATATAATGGACTTTTACAAAATCGTGCTATCGATTATTTGTTCATGTTTCATCACTACGGCTGTGAACAAGTGGACAACGTGTTGTTTTAATATTACTGACAATTCTAAAGCCATTCAAAGCCAAATCTCTCATTTACAAAATCTCACACACCACATTAAACAAGACGTTGGATTTTCTGGCCTCTGGGATTCTTTCACCCAGTGGCTTACTGCTTGGCTACCTAATCTTACTTGGCTTCGTAATCTCTTTCAATATGCCCTTGTTATTATATGCATCTTAATTTTGTTATGTTGCTTCCTCCAATGCGTTCCTGGCCTCATAAGTCTTTTCTCTCGGCTTCTCTCTCCCCCTCAACCACCCAATAAACTCCTTGCTGCCTACTTTGCGAAATGGCAACACCAACAGTAAACTTAAGGTGAGATGTGGACGGGCTTATTTTGGGCATGCGCTAGCAAACCACGTATCCCGAAATATTTTTGTCCCATTGACCCTGGCGAACTTATTTTGGGCATTTGCTGGCACACCACTAATCCTGAAATATTTTTGCTTTATTTACCCAGAACGGCTCGCAAACAAGAAAAGAAAGGGGGAGATAAAGGGAAGTCCTCTTTCTGCATATAACTGCTAGTTCTCCTTCTGCACAAAACTGCACAAAACTGCTGCATTTTGGGGAAGCCTTGCACCTTTTCTCTTGCATTCTGGGAAGTCTTGCTTATAATCTTTTCCCTGCTTTTGCACACACTGTACAGATCTGTTCTAAACACCAGGACATTCTTTTCCTTGTTCAGTCATCCTAAGCTCATGGAAAACAACATGACCCGCTCTTCATGCCTAGCTGACCACATCTACAGAACTTGATTGTTATATTGTTTCATGCCATGATCCATCATTACAATTTAATTAGGAGGCTTCATGCCTGTCTAGTTCTAGCTTCGATTCCCAGCCTTTAATCCACCGATAATAAATGATCATACGTAACCCCCATTTCTCACATGTAATTCCTGCCTTATGCTTATGTTAACCAATCAGCAACAAGTTTCTTTGTGTATGTATGTATCAACCAATCAGCGACAAGCACACCTGTGGCAATGTTTGTAATATTCAATAAAAGGGGCTCCCAGGGTCCGCCCTGGCCAGACGCCTCATGTTACACCCGCCTCTCTCGTTTCCTGTGATTTTTCATTCCAACACCCAGCCCCCCGCACCTATCTGTCAGAAATTTGGCAGGTTTCACCTCCTCAGAAGGGGCTATATGCCTGCAAGTTTCATCCACTGCTATCAAAAAGTAAAAATGAGATACAGTACTATTTATTCATCTCCCTATGTTGGTTAGAGCTCTACCTCTCTTTTAAATCAGAACCAGTGAAGGCGGTGAAGGTCCTGTGTGAGTGTCTGGAAGCGGTTGGAGGATGGATGGCGGCTAACAGATTGAGGTTGAATCCTGACAAGACAGAAGTACTGTTTTTGGGGGACAGGAGGCGAGCAGGTGTGGAGGATTCCCTGGTCCTGAATGGGGTAACTGTGACCCTGAACGACCAGGTGCGCAGCCTGGGAGTCATTTTGGACTCACAGCTGTCCATGGAGGCACAGGTCAAATCTGTATCCAGGGCAGCTGTTTACCAGCTCCATCTGGTACGTAGGCTGAGACCCTATCTGCCTGCAGACTGTCTCGCCAGAGTGGTACATGCTCTGGTTATCTCCCGCTTGGACTACTGCAATGCGCTCTACGTGGGGCTACCTTTGAAGGTGACCCGGAAACTACAACTAATCCAGAATGCGGCAGCTAGACTGGTGACTGGGAGTGGCCGCCGAGACCATATAACACCGGTCTTGAAAGACCTACATTGGCTCCCAGTACGTTTCCGAGCACAATTCAAAGTGTTGGTGCTGACCTTTAAAGCCCTAAACGGCCTTGGTCCAGTATATCTGAAGGAGCGTCTCCTCCCCCATCGTTCTGCCCAGACACTGAGGTCCAGCTCCGAGGGCCTTCTGGCGGTTCCCTCACTGCGAGAGGCCAAGTTACAGGGAACCAGGCAGAGGGCCTTCTCAGTAGTGGCGCCCGCCCTGTGGAACGCCCTCCCATCAGATGTCAAAGCGATAAACATCTACCTGACATTCAGAAGACATCTGAAGGCAGCCCTGTTCAGGGAAGTTTTTAATATGTGACATTTTAATGTATCTTTCATCTTTGTTGGAAGCCGCCCAGAGTGGCTAGGGAAACCCAGCCAGATGGGCGGGGTACAAATAATAAATTATTATTATTATTATTATTATTATTATTATTATTATTATTAATGGGGGAGAGGGACATACAAAACCTCACATTTCCAAAGTGAGGTTCTACTTTTGACTCAAACTGAAGATACCCAAAGCAATATGAGATGAAGTGGCCTCATTTTTGAAGTGCTGAAGCAGACTCTGAACGAAGCATTATCTTTTGTGCACATCCCGGTATATTATGCACAGCCACGCCATATCACAATTGGCTTTTAAGGTTTCTTTCACTTTCAAAAGAGGATTCAGGAGAGGGGGTGGCACTCAAGAAACCCAAACCCAAAACCTCACTTTGGCACATGGATTGATATGTGCAGTTCTCTGGATCAAAGCTGGCTTACTCTCGGTAAAATTTCATTATCACGTGGAGCCCCTTTGATAAACCAGTGCTTATATGAGAAGCCCTTAACCTTGACCTGAATTCTAACCTACACTGGGGAAGGAGGGGTGTGCGTGTGTGAGTCAGATCAGGATCAGAGACAGCAGGAAGAGCGAATGCTATCGTCAGTGCTGTTACCTCGTGCTTCCTTTGCCCTAGGATGCTGCTTAGCGGGGGTGTTTTCAGCCGGCTTTGCGCCGTGTCCTCTGAAGGAGCCTGATTGGGAGACGTTTGTCGAGGACGGTCAATTCTGGGTAGCTGAGGCTCTGAGGAAAGAAAGCAGCCTGGGATGTAGTAGGAGCCCCACAATATATTTTGCTACTAATGTGCCATCAAGCTTTGATGAGCGAGTCTGTTTATGGACATCGGTTTATTGTAAACAGCTTACAGGTCTTTTATTATAAGGTAAAGGTAAAGGTACCCCTGCTCGTACGGGCCAGTCTTGCCAGACTCTAGGGTTGTGCGCTCATCTCACTCTATAGGCCGGGAGCCAGCGCTGTCTGAAGACACTTCCGGGTCACGTGGCCAGCGTGGCGAAGCTGCTCTGGCGAGCCAGCGCAGCACACGGAAACGCCGTTTACCTTCCCGCTATAAAGCGGTCCCTATTTATCTACTTGCACCCGGGGGTGCTTTCAAACTGCTAGGTTGGCAGGCGCTGGGACTGAACGACGGGAGCGCACCCCGCCACGGGGATTCGAACCGCCGACCATGCAATCGGCAAGTCCTAGGCGCTGAGGTTTTACCCACAGCGCCACCCGCGTCCCTTTTATTATAGTAAGTGGTATATAACTTTTATTAAAATCAATCAGGCAAGCAAGCAGCTCTGGGGAGGGGGGAGAAGCTCCTGTACCAAGCAACTCGTGGCTGCCTTCTTTACCCTTCAAGTCTCTAAGCCTGTACCCACAACTGCCCCTTGCTCTCCTCCTGAGTTAGTGACAGGAGTGGGATCTCAATGTGTTTAGTTATTATGGTGCTTGCTCATCACACATCCAGGCTTTTACTGCCTGGGTTTGGGTAAAGTGTCTTTCCCCCGGCCTCTGTGCTTGGGCTCCTTGTAATATTGGTGTGTGTTTGGGCGTGCGCGCATGGAAAAGGAACATCTTCAATTTGGCGAGAAAATCAGGAATGTCAGAGCTAGTTAGGAACCAGCAAACCTGGGGAAAGGCAAGGATGCTCATGTTGGTGTTGGGGGGACTTGTACACCTACTTGCGTCCCACCTGCTCCCCCTAAATAAGTCAGAAGTGTCCAGCAGAAAGTTTTGCCCAGCGTCCTCACAAAGATATTGACCACATATCTTGGGGAAGGGCCATAGCTGAATGGGAGAGCATCAGCCTTGCCTGCAGAAGGTCACTGGTTCATTTCCCAGCAACTCCAGATAGGGCTGAGAGACAACACAATCTGAAATCCTGTCAATGTTGACAAGACTGAGCTAGAGGGACAATGCTCAGATTCAGTAGAGGGCAGCTTCCTATCTTTTTATATTGTTGCCCTGAAGTTGGTGGAAATGGGATGCATAAAGCACTAAAGCAGTTATCAAAAAGGCCAAGAGACTTTAGTTCTTCAAGGCAGATGAAGTTCTGCCCAACGTTACCTGGCTGGCACTAAACAGTGGAATGCAGCTCACAGCAGCACATTCTGTGGCTTATGAAGAAACACGGAAAACAAAACAAAATCACACCTCTTATTATATTGATTAATCTTTCTGACCGCTGTGAAACATTCCTCATGCCAGTTGTCATGTTGACTTTGGGGACATCATTATATTTGCTGCAGGTGGGAAATTATTCGCCAGTCTCTGCATGTGTTAATATTGATTCAAGCTGTTACCAGCCTAATTAAGGAAAGGAAATATCATCTGTGTCCAGCATTTGGAGCTGTTCAGCTTGGCAAATTCAAGATCCCCCTTTTCTGTATTCACTGCAAATGATGGGCACTCTCTTGTGTCTAGTGTCCATCATCTGTATATTGCCCTTCACTTCTGTGAACTGGCATTAACTTACAGTTGAGTTCAGGGATATTTTTTTCTTCACCTTGTCCTTTACCCCCAATTTGTCCTCCCAATTAGAGCCTGAGAAATGTCCCAGTCAGGTGTTCTTGTTCTGCATCCTGGATCTATAAATATTGTTTGCTAAGCGGTGGCACTGAAACTTATTTGGGAAAGTGATTTGAAATATTAATTTCAGTAACTCAACACTCCTGTGAGCTGATACTGAGTCAGCTCTTAATTTTGGGTGAGCCTGGTAGGGGATTGCTTTAATCTAAAGATCTGGTGAGGTTTTGCCATTGCTGCCTTTCCCCTGACTTACACTTACTAGTCAGTGGTGGGCATAAGGACTCTTCAGTAGGAGTCATATAGTCCCCATGATTCTCAGTAGCTCTTGGCAGCACATAGGGTCTAGCAGAGGCTCCAGCTGTGAGCCCCTCACTGCAGCTAGATAAAGACAGTTCAGGAAAAGGGAGAGGGTGCTGTTGGCAGAGGATTTGGTGTGGGGAGGTTTATAGACCCCATGATGCTTCAGATAACACCATAAGGAACATGGTGGACCTGAACTTTAGCCTGGCACATCTACTGAAAACAATTTATTTTGGAAATTGTTTTAGTTAGTTAATCCATTCCAAATCAGTCTGGGAAGAACTCGTCCACCCCACATGCTTTCACAGGATACAAGCAGAATGCCTGTGAGACAATGGAAGCAAATAGTCTACCAACAATAGCTTTAAACTCATGCATAATTCCCCTAATTTTCTCGACTCGTTCCGGGCATACCAATTAGTTGGGAGATAAGATAGCGTGCCTGGCTGAGTTATTGACAAGGTCACAAAGATCTCAGTGCAGGCGATCTGAAAATGCTGGAGGTATATCCATGTTTACCTCCATCAGTGCCTGGTGGCAGTAATTGGCTGGATGAGGTCTATAAGCCAATAAGCTGAAGTTGAATCCTGATGAGATGGTGGTGCTGTTAGTTGGCTATTCTTGAGTCTGGGGAGTCTGGGGAGACAACCTGTTCTGGAAGGACTCAAACTGCCCCTGAAGGAGCAGGTATGTAGCTTGGGTATGCACTCTTGGATCCAGCTTTACCACTTGTGGCTGGTGCGTCTCCCTGACTGTGAACTTCAGGTGACAAATTTTATTGAATGTTCTGCAATAAATTCCATTACAAATTGTGAAGAGGGGCAGACTCAAGGCCTGCCCATCACTTTTGATCATCTAATGTTTATTGGATGGCTTTCCCCCCTAAATTGATTTTTGAATTCTGAATTTATTGTTATTCACGTTTTTACTGTATTTTATGCTATTTTTAGTTGCATCAACTGAGTGTTTTAAATTTGTTGTTAGCTGCCCTGAGCCCAGTTTTCTGAATCGGGAAGGGCAGGGTATAAATAACAATTTATTGTTTTCTTTAAAACACACACACACAACAAAAGGTGCTTGGGGTGGGTGCTAGAGAACAAATCCCCTCCTCCTCCTTCAAGCAACAAACCCCCCTGCCGGTGACTCTGTACAACAGCAGGAAGAGGAGAAATAATTATTTCTCCCCTTGGCCCCCTCCCACTGGTGCTGCAGTAAGTTTAAAAATCCAGACCCACCCCCGTCACTTAGCAAGGTAACAGCAGCATGGGGAAGAAGGGGGGAATTCTTCTGCACCCTGGGAGCATCCCCACGCCCCTCCTTTGAAGTTACACTGGATTTCCAAGGCTTCCCATGTGTTGCAAAGCACACCCTATGGTGATCCTTTCACCTTCTGGATCAGAGATGGAAAGGATCAGCACCAGGCAGGCTTTGCAAGACATGGGCACCCTTGGAATTCCAGCAGAACTTCAAAAGATGGGAGCAGAGGTGCTTGTAAAACTCACCCGGTGCCGATTCCCTTCAACACAGATCAGCACAGGGTGGGTTTTCCAGGCCTCCTTGCACCCCTTGAACATGTGCTTCTTTCACATGTTTGCCGCTTGCAGGTGGTCTGATTTTCATGCAGTTGTTTACTTGTTGGTTATACTTCCATACCGCTGCTTATACTTTCAAAAAGCTTCTGATAAAAGCCGCTCATTCTGAGTAAGCTTAGCAGACATGGGATAGGAAGACAAGTCCTCTTATGGATCAGAAACTAGTGAAAGAACAGGAAGCAGAGAGGAGGGATAAAGGGAGAGTTTTCACCGCGGAGGTGTATAAGATGTAGGGTCTGCTAGGGAACTGTTTTGGGTTTGTAACTCATTGTTAGGAGCAGTGTGTATGTGTGTGTAGGGGGTGGGTAATCTGGATTATACCCTGTGCCCTTTCTAAACCTGTCATCCTGTGTGCATAGCAGAGGGAACCAGCCAAACCAGTTCATTTGTGAAGGTGATGACTTTGGCTGGCAAGTTAAGTACCACAGTTTACATATCCAAAGAAGTTGCTCTGTGCCATAGAGCAAACGGTTGGCCGTTCCTCACCCTGCTGCCACACAGGAGAACAATAGGCAGAGTTGTGTGTGAGTGAGCTGGAAGCAGGCTGGAAACTGGAGACAAAGAGACATGTTTGCTCTGTGCAGTTTGCAATGGCTTATTGGGAAACAAATATCGGAGGCATGGTGCCTAGCTTGATTAAACTGTCGATCCAGTGTGTGGCTGCTTTGAAAAAGCCAAATTCCATGCTAGGGAACATTAGGAAAAGGGGATTGAAATTAAAACTGCAGATATCACAATGCAACCACACTTGGAATACTGTGTGCAGTTGTGGTCACTGCATTATTATTATTATTATTATTATTATTATTATTATTATTATTAATATCATCACAGTTGTAGGAAAGGGCAACCGAAATAATCAAGGGATCGGAGCAGCTCTCCTGTGAAGGTTGCAATATATGAGGCTTTTTTTTCACTTCAGAGAAAAGCAAGTAAGATGAAAATGCTACAGTTTATAATTACAGTGGTGCCCCGCAAGACGAATGCCTCGCAAGATGAAAAACTTGCTAGACGAAAGGGTTTTTCGTTTTTTGAGTCGTTCCGCAAGACAAATTTCCCTATGGGTTTGCTTCGCAAGATGAAACGTCTTGCGAGTTCTTGCGAGTTTGTTTCCTTTTTCTTAAAGCCGCTAAGCCGTTAATGGCCGCTAAGCCGCTAAGCCGCTAATAGCCGTGCTTCGCAAGACGAAAAAACCGCAAGACGAAGAGACTCGCGGAACGGATTAATTTCGTCTTGCGAGGCACCACTGTACGCATGCTATGTACAAAAACACTCTCTCATAACAATAGAATCTGGGGCCATCCAACAAAGATGAATGTT